TCTTGCTCATCCAGCTCAGTGACTGCCCAGGCTGGCCACTGCCTTAGCGAGGAGAGCACCGCCCCTCTCTCTCACAATTCGTCCTAAAAGGTTCAGACAGATGGTTGCAAATAACAAAGTCAATTCTGGGTTACTTAGGCCAACCAGGGCCTGGGCGGACAGCCCCTGCGTGACTTTCTGAATCCCCAGCCACAGGAAGAAAGGCCTGCTTGCTAAAAGTAAGTAAAATTTGAGGCACTTGTTAATGAAAATCAAGGACTGCAGCCTTCAATATAGATGACAACTCAGTGTAAAGAAAACTCAAATCTTTACAACCAGACCAATAGGTCACATCATGATAAATGGGGAAAAGATTAAAGTTGTCAAGGATTTTTGTCTTGCTTGGATCCACAATCAATGCTCATAGAAGCAACAGTCAAGAGATCAAATGACTCATTGCATTGGGTAAATCTGCTGTCTAAGACTTATTCCAAAATGTTGAAAAGCAAAGATGTTATTTTGAGGAATAAAATATGCCTGATCCAAGCCATGATATTTTCAATAGCCTCAGATGCAAGTCAAAGCTGGACATTGACTAAGGAGACTGAAGAAGAAACGATGCGCTTGAACTGTGGTGCTGGGGAAGACTATCGAAGCGCCATGAACTGCCAAAAGAACAAACAAATCTGTCCTGGAAGAAGTACAGCCAGAAGTACAGCATCTACAGTACAGTAGATGCAAGAATGGAGAGACTTCGTCTCTTATACGTTGGATATGTTGTCAGGAGAGACCAGTCCCTGGAGAAAAACATCAGGCTTGATGAAACAGAGGGGCGGCAAAATAGAGGACCTCAAGAAGATGGATTGACACAGTGGCTGCGACCATGGGCTCAAACCTAAGAGTCACTGTGAAGCTGGCGCAGGACCAGGTCCTGCGTGCTGTGTTCTGTTGTACACAGAGACTCTGGGTGCTAACTCTCAGTGGCGCCCAACAGCAGCAGCAACAACAGGAAGAGCAGGCTCTGATTGGTCAGTCGGACTGCTTCCCACTCTGCTGCCTCCACAATGAATGCTCAATGGGGCCCTAGATGTCCTAGGTTGATCACTTTCTCTGGAGTCCAAGGCCTGGTTTGGAAGCCCTGGTGATAGGCTCCATCTGCCAGGGAGCTACGAGAAGACATACTGCTGTTTCTGTGACTGTTGTAATGGAAGGTAGGAGTCCTCCAAATGAGAAGGAGATTCAGATTTTGTGACTAAACATCAGGTGTTCACAAGTCAACCCTCTTTTACCTGTTCTCCCTAGTGCAGCCCCTGTGCCTTCCTTGCAAGCAAATCTGACCACACAACTCTCTGGCTAAAAAGCTCTTCCATGGCTCCCCACTACCCTCAAAATGAAGTTCAAACTCCTTGCCTAACTCCCAAGGATCTCCCTGATCCAGGCCCCTCTAAGGCCTCAGCTTCATTTTCAACCCCACTCCAATGCTAACTTGCACCTCAAACTCTATCCTGATGCCCTGCCCTTAGGTTCTGAATATGTGAACTTTCTGGGCCTTCCTCTACAAATCTTATTCTGGAAGGTTCTTTCTCACCCATTGCAGTAATCTCTGAAATGGGCACCTTCCCACTATGCACTGGACATCTTCTCTGACCCTCGCCCCCACCTTTGGCCAGGTGAGCTACAAACTCTCTGTCTCACCAGCCACTGGGTTTCCTTCTTCCAAGGTACTTATCTTTAATGTACCCTAGATCCACCCACTTTTCTGTCTCGCCAAGATGGCTGCCATCTTGGTCCCAGCTGAGGCCATCTTGCCGCCTCCCGGCTGCTCTGTCTGCTAACATTCTTGGTCCCCTAAAGGTCCACCAGCCAAAGTGCTCTTTCAAAAGGCTTCACATTTCATTTGGGGGTGGGGGAACAAAATGAAATGCACCTCGTTATGGTCTTTCAGGAGGCCCTAGATCAGCGGTTCTCAACCTGTGGGATGCAACCCCTTTGACAGGGATTCCTTTAGACCATCGGAAAACACATTTCTGATCTGGTGAGAGAGAAGCTATCTCAGCCTTCACGCTGATGTTGGCTTTTTATGCATACTGTCGCAAAATGTAACAATGTAGTTTACTGTTGTTACATCAAGACTGTTACCCATGCTATACCATGCTTCAAGACACAATTTCATTTATTTGTCATTAGAAATAAATATTTCACAATATATAATTACATATTGTTTTTGTGAATCATTACTGTGCTTTCATTATGTTCAATTTGTAACAATGAAAATACATCCTGTCTATCAGGTATTTACAAGACAATTCATAACAGCACAATATTACAGTGATGAAGTAGCAATGAAAATAATGTTATGGTTGGGGGTCACCACCACATGAGGAACTGTATGAATGGGTCATGGCATGAGAAAGGTGGAGAACCACTGCCCTAGGTGGTGCCAGGGAGCCCTGGTGGGGGTGGTGGTTATGTGTTGGGTTGCTAACTGCCAGGCCAGTTAGAAGCCGGAAACCACCAGCTTCTCCTTAAGAGAAAGAGGCTTTCTCCTCCTGCACAGTCTCGGAAGCCCACAGGGTAGTTCTGCCCTGCTGTGGGTTCATGTAAGAGGGCATCAACTCCAGGACAGTTTATTTGTTTGTTTCCGATGGCACAAATGGCTCATGCATTCACCTGTCAAAGGGATCAGTGATCCAGCATCAAAGAATAAAAGATCACATCATCGTGAATGAGGGGGAGTGCTGAGTGAGGACCCAAAGCCCATCTGTAGACAACTGGACATCCCCTTACGGAAGAGTAGCGGGGAGGAGACTAGCCAGTCAGGGTGCAGTGTAGCAACGATGAACATAAAACTTTCCTCTAGTTCTTAAATGCTTCCTCACCCCCACTATCATGATCCCAATTCTACCTTACAAACCTGGCTAGACCAGAGCATGTACACTGGTACAGATAGGAACTGGAAACACAGGGAATCCAGGACAGATGAACCCTTCAGGGCCAGTGCTGAGAGTGGCAATACCGGGAGATTGGAGGGAGGGTGGGGTAGAAAGGGGGAACTGATTACAAGGATCTACATATAACCCCCTCCCTGAGGAATTGTCAACAGAAAAATGGGTGAGGGGAGACATCGATCAGTGTAAGACATGGAAAAATAATGATTTATAAATTATCAGGGGAGGGAAGGAGAGGGAGGGGGGGAAATGAGGAGTTGATACCAGGGGTTCAAGTGGAAAGCAAATGTTTTGAGAATGATGAGAGCAACAAATGTACAAATGTGCTTGGGACAATTGATATATGTATGGATTGTGATTTAAAACACAAAAAAAGAAAGGCTAGAAGCTCAGATCTACCCAAAGGTGCCTTGGAGGAAAGGCCTGGCAGTCTACTTCTGGGAAAACCCTAAGGGACACAGCTCTACACTGACCCACATAGGGTTGCTGCCGTAAGTCAGAGTTGACTCACAGGCAACTAGAGTGGTGGTGGTGGTCTCCACAGCATTCCATGACCCAGTCCCGCTGCCCCAGGGTCTCCTCTGGAGCCTCTTGACCTTGAAGCTTCACAGTCCTCCCTGCTCATTGAGGGCATCAAGCTTATTCCAGGCTTGAGCCTGTGCTCACTGACTCCTCTGTCTGCATTGTTAGCTCCCCAGAATTTTGCACGACTGAGTCTCTGCTCAAAAGTCACACGCGAGTGTATTTCCCCTCCCTTTATATTTCAGTGGTCTGATAGCATCTCCTATATTTCCTTATTTACCAGATGATTATCAGTCGTGTCTCTCTGTTTGTCGCACCCTCCCCCACGCCCCACCTCCAATAGAGTGTGTATGGAGGAAGCCCTGGTTATCTTGCAAACACCACTGTAATCCCAGCACCTGGCTAGGTGCCTGGAGCCAAGTGCATCTTTGTAGGGATTTTGGGATCACAAAAGCCTGGTTCTGCTACTGCGGAGTTTGGGTAACACTTCCCCACACCTCTGCTGTTTCCTCTTGTGTGAAGTTGGGGGCACTGGGTGTTGACCTAGGAGGTGTTTGAACATTTTCGGCCTTGTTCGCCCCCCACCTCCTTGTCTTCAAGCCAGGCGTTGACCTCGGCTCCCCACCTGTACATCCCACTGTCTATGGCGCGGCCTTATAAGGCAGAAGAGGCCCAGGGCGAGGAGGCCGTGTGGGTGGAGAGAAATCACAACATCCGGCTGTGGGGACGGAGCGGGGGACAGGGCGGCCAGGCTACAGGCCCAAGGGCCCCTGGGGAGTCGCGAGCTTCCTTCAGGACGCTCTTCACCACGGAGGGTCCAGACCTCAGATTACAGTGCCGCAGCCCAGCGCGTTCGCAACAAACCCCCGGAGGAGCGGCCGGCCAGCCGAAGGCGTCGGGGCCACCCCTCACGTGGCCACACCCCCAGCTGATAGCTCAATCAGAATGCAGTTCTGGAACTGACTGGCGCCTCCTCGATCCAATCAAACATTTGATCTCCGGGGCGTGGCTCAGAGGGCCCCGCCCCCGTGGCTCCCGCAAAGGGCTCGCCCCTATTTGGCTGTTCTGCATCCCACGAAGACCCAGAAATTCGAACCTAGAGGGTGAAACCCGCCCTCAGACCAACCAGGGAGATGTGACGTGCGGGCTTCCACCCTCCTGCTCCTTTAAGCGAATCCCTGACCCGGAGGGCGGGACACAACGAAGAGGACATCCAATGGGAAAGCGGCGCGGGGAGCACCCGCCCGTGGATTGGCGGAGCAAAGTAAACAGAGGGCGGGGCGGGGCGGCGCCGGGGTGGCTCCCGGG